GGCAGCCACGCGCCGGCTCCGGCCTGTCCTGGGGAGGCCGCTCCGAAGCGGGGCCGGGAGAGGCGGGAGCTGGGGCTGTCGGGGCTGCAGAGGAGCCGAGTGCAGCCCCCTTCTCGGAACAAACTGGGAAACGTCACAACCACAACCAAGCAGCATCACTTTTATTTGGTGTTACAACAGGCGTGCAGCGCTACCCACCCTGGGCACTGCAGCTGTTCGTGATCTTTTTCTTAAAAAAAAAAAAAAAAGTAGTATCTAAACAGCTCTTCTGTTCAGACAACTCCATGTGCTTTTTATATACACAGTGACCCCTGCATTCAGCCTGTCCAGTTAACACTAGAAATATTCGTCAAGGCAATACATTATCTTTGCTATAATTAGGTAGAAATCAAAAGGAAAAAAAAGTACTTTAAATCTGACTTGATTACACGTGCTGTACATACCTGTTCCCAAACCAACAGACTCAGAGAGAAGCTTCTAATTTAATGCACTCCATGATTCAGGTCAAAACGCTGTACATCTAAGTATCCACACAATCGTACATCCCTAACAACGCTCTCCTCCTTCATGCCCTTTACTTTTTTAGACATCTGCTTTTAAAAATGAATAAAGAAGTTGAAGATCTCTATTTCTTTAGAACAAAACATTATATACTACATTGAAAAATAATTTTATCAAAACCTGATTCAAATCAGTCATGTACAATTTTCAGTTAACTGTTCATGTTGCAATTGCACTTCGTAGATAGAATAAAATTAAAACCCAGGAACAAGATCTATTTTCTTTCACAGGCGACTGCCTCTTCTGGATTCCTCCTCCGCGAGTGTTTGTATTTGTCTACATAGGCCTTCACCAGATTCGCCACTTTTGCAGAATTAACTTCTCCACTCTTGCTGTGACAAACCTACATCAGTGTTAAAGAAAGAAATAAACTGTTTGAAAGGCTTTTTGTTGATTTGCCACTGATTCACATTATGTATCTGCTTCCCAAACCACAAGTTTGTCCAAGGCCAGCAGGGTAACTTAGGAACCCCTAATTCTTCCTAACTCCATCCAATCACTTCAGTAAATTAGTTAGTGCTGAGGAGCTAAAAAAGCCCTGAAAGATGTTTTTGTCTTCCCTCCCTCCCAGCAACCACCAGTTGTCCCTAAAACACAGGCACCCCCACTCAACCCTACCTTAATTGAAATGTTCTTGTATCAGATTTTACTAATAAATTAACTTACTTTATCTACAGCTTTCCGCACAATTTCTTTATATTCCTCCTTCGTGATGTCTTTATTTTGGTAGAAAGGTTTAATAGCCAGCTTGACCTCTTGAGCTGCTTTCTCTTGAATCAACAATTTCTGAAGGAAGAACAAACTTGTTATTTTTAGATGCATGCAGGTTCATCTTCCAAGTGAAAGCCGTGCTTTAAAATTAGTTTCAAATGCTCGTAGCTAAAACTTTGCAGATGACAATCTCCTCTAAACCACCAGGAAAACCTGCTCCGTTCCCTCACGTTTCAGCACTCAGAAGAGCCGTGTGCCTTCCTAAAACCAGAGGGGCCCACAGCAACCAGAGCCGCGTTCGGAAGCGGGGCTGCTCTGGCGGCTCCGCGTCCCGCGGCTCCCCG